AAGAAGTTTGGAAGAAACCCAAAAAAAAAAAAAACCAACTCTGCTATAAGACCATGACACCTGAAAGAACATATTTACATAACATGCAGGTACGGCGTGACGCAGGTGCTCATGATGCAGGTAGGCAGCAGATTGTGCATTTTGGAATGTTAGTTTATTTAAGCTTATTCACTTAAATAAGGGTAAAAAGCTTGCCTTTTTCCAAAGGGTAGAATCACCTTTTTATTTATTTTTGATTAAAGATTTTTTAAAAATTGTCATTTGACAAATAACACAGTTTAACAGGTACTTGGAGGTTCTTATTTCTGCTTGAATGTACTTACATCTGATTATTGTTTATTAACTTCTCATTTAAATATCACAGAATCAAGGTTAACATGGGAATAACATTTTCCAATCCTCAGTGTCAACGTTCAAATAGTCTTCCGTATGATGCAGTTAGTATGTAGGTCTATTTACAAAGAGTAGTTATGTAGCATGTGAAAAGGATGACAACATGTCAGTTTAGTCAGTTAAATTCTCTATATTTACCAGGCAGTGAGCTTTGCATTGAGCTTAAGTAGACTGTGATACAAATGCACTTGTATATTTTTTGCAGCATGTATACAGTAATGGACTGGTATGAGAACACTGGAAATGTAAAAGATGGTGTGAAATTTGTAAAATTTCTCCTGTGTGATTTATTTCAGTGCTGCTGCACTTTGATCATGAGTCAACATTGCAGTGTTTGCTTTTGCTTTAACACAAAATAGAAGTTGAACTCAATGCACAGATTCCCACTGATTATTCTCTAAATCAGAGACATCTGTTGTGTTGTAATAGAAATTGTTGTGCATTGTGTTTGTGATGAAATGGATAAAATGATGTTAATGCAAGTGCAACTCTGCTTAATTTTCTTTTTTATAAGGGTTGGCTTTTCCCCTCAGTTCAATGAGATGTCTTTAAGCAGAGTCATGCTGGGAGGCTTAGGTGAAGGGCCAATCATGTGGTCTCCTGACATGACAGCCTTATAGTGGATTTAAAGTGTCCAGTAGTGTTTGAGCCATCTATCTAGCATCTCATTTTTCAATCCATAAATGTCTTAGATTGCACTTGAGAGGTACCAAAAACGTGTATTTTAAAGCAGTTTTCTGTGTAAAGAAGAAGCCAATTCACCCAGGATTAAACATTGACTCACATATTTGCTTTTGGAAAGTTGTTGACTCTTTTCTGACCTGGCCACAATCTGAATGCACAACGTGACTAACAATAGGACTACAAATTAATTCTGTGGTTGTTGGTTTTCACTACAATGTTAAGATTGTAGTTAAAAAAGTACAAAATACACCAGGTCAGGGTCCAAGGCTTTTAGTCAAACTCATATAAAAAAAACTTTGCTTTTAGGGTCTTACCCTGTAAATGATTTCTGTTAGCTTACTGGGGTCAGACAGGGGCTTTTCATAGGATTAAACAGTGGCTGGCTTTAGGAACTGTAAAGCTAAGTAAAAATTCATGTTGTTTCTCAGCTGAGGACTTAAAAGACTAGCAGAAACAGGGTTGTCATACTTACAAGTGTATTTGAGGTCTTGTGAAGTCTTTGTTCTTGAGCCACTAATACAGTCACAACAGCAACATGAATATGCAACATGAAGCACCAAGGAATTCAACATAAATGTGGCATGTCAACAAACCAAATGCAAAATGCAGCTTAATATAATGTGGTTAATACTTATTAAATACTTGATGAGTTCACTTTATCTGAGAAAATCTATATCCCGAGAAAAAACAACAAGACAAGTTCCAACAAGAATCTCATGACAGTTGGAAAACAGTTGGTATTTCCCCACATTCTGCAATGTATAAGCTGTGTACTGAACAATGCCCAGCAATGTGGCTTAATGTGTGTCCCCAGTGATCTAATGGACAAAGTAAGCCAGGGATTGTGGGTTTGTGGTTATTTGCAGTAGCATTAAAAGTAGAAGTGGTCCATGGATAGTGTATATATATAATATAATATATATATATATATATATATAATATATATAGATAAGTATGTGTATATATATATTATATATATATATTATATATATTATATAATATATATATATATATATACTCACATATATATATATATATATATATATATAATAATCTGACAATACATACTTTTTTAGGGGCTTTTAAATGTGTGGTGACGCTTATATGTAGAGCTTTGTGTCATCTGAATAATTTAGGTCAGAGTTGCTGTGATGTTCCAGTTCTGATGCTCACAGACGTCAAATAGCAGAAGCCTGATAGAATTACCTTATACTACGGTTTCTGGATCTTATCCTTCTGTCTTACTACATATCTTAATAATAGCATTCTGTAAAGACGGCCTTTATAGTTTCTTTTCCAACTATTTATTTATGAGTGAAGTATGTATGTGTATATATGTATATATTGTACTATTCTTAGTTAGTGTATTGTCTGTCTTGTCTTAATGTTGGTTCGAAAATGGAGCACTGTAACAAAAAATAATTTCCCCCAGGGATTAATAAAGTATTCTGATTCTGATTCTGATTTATTCTTAAAATATGACCTAAGATATTGTAATTTTAAGATAAATTGCAATAATTATTGTCCCTACATTTCCAAAAATAAAAAAAATGCTGAATTGATATGCTCTTCTGTTGTCCTTCCAGGAGAATGACCATGACATTGAGAAACAAGGCTTTGAAAACCTGGCCTACGAGTATGGGAGCCAGACTGAGCTCTGCCCTCCACCTAAAGCTGCCTCAAGAGCAGCTTTTAAACTTCAGCGGATCACCTCTGAGCATGAGGTCCACATCATCCAAACCAGAATCTGCAGCCTGAATGGAATAATTGCTGTCACATGGTCTGTACCCAACAGTTTGGCCAAGGTGGACTATGATGCTTCAGTTATTCCAACCAAAGAGATCGCCCTGGAACTACAGACCTTGGGATACAGCGTGGAGTCTGTGGTGCAGATCAGGGTGGATGGTATGCACTGCCAGTCCTGTGTGCGGTCCATTCAGGGACAGATCGGGGAGCTGCAGGGGGTTTCACATATTCAGGTGTCTCTTCAGGACAAAGCAGCGCTGATTGTTTTTCAGCCTCTTCTAGTCACACATGAAGAGCTGAGAGACAAAATTGAGGACATGGGCTTTGATACTGATTTGTTATCAGAGGACCCATCAGTAGAAGATTTAAGTTTCTGGCAGAAAAAGGAGGTGGATGCCTCCACCCAGACTGTAACCATTTTGATTGGAGGGATGACTTGCAGCTCTTGTGTGCAGACAATAGAAGGGAGGATCTCTCAGATGACTGGAGTGCGGTTCATAGCGGTGTCCCTGGAGGCGGAAAAGGGAACAATAACCTTTGATCCCTATTTGACAGAGCCAGAGCAGCTCAGGGCAGCTATTGAGGACATGGGCTTTGACGCCTCACTTAAAGGTAGGTAACAAAAATAAATGTTTGCTTAATGAAGCTTTTAAAAAAAAATATTATTTTAGGATTATTTCAGTTTTCTTTTTCAGTGTGTCAAATCTTAATAAATAGTGAGGGTGACAACTGACTGAACATCCAGGGAACAGTTAGCATTTGTTTTTGCCATCCTGTTTTTCTTTAACATCTTACTTGAGCTCCGCAGCACTTGGTCCAGATCACAACCTAAAGATCCCAGAACTTCTCCAACATAAAGGGACACAAACACTCAGGAACTAGATACCTTACCCATTAGTTCACATGGTAGCAGGTGTTAGCTTGACTCCAGCTGATCAGGCTTGGACAAGAAGTTGTGCATTTTAATTTATTTTGGGTAGAATTTGGCACAGGTTGGTGCATTTTTTCCCTATCCCTATCTTTCCATTTCTGAGTTTGTACATCATTTCCCCAAATCCTCTCATCTGGTCTCAGTGCCTCTCACCAGAGATGCAAGAACAGTAGCACAGCTGGATCATCTGACCAATTTTTAATTTGTTATGGCCCACTGCTGTATTGGCTGATCTCAGGTGTCAGGGCAAGACAGAAACAAGAGGTAAAAAGTAAAAAAGTAAAGTCTACATTTTATGCAATATAATAATAATAATAATAATAATAATAATAATAATAATAATAATAATAATAATAATAATAATAATAATAATAATAATAATACTTATTAAAGGCATACACAGACCAATGGGATGATCATGAAAAACAACTCTCATGCCTCAGTGGCACCTCATCTCTTCATCTGCTATTTCTGTCAGGCAAGGAGTGAGTTGGGAACTCAAGTATCTTTGAACTAGTTTTTACACCCGAGGTATAAAAGCACTCATTGTTTGATGTCCTTGGAGGGGTTTGCTTTCATTTAGGAAATGTCTGCCATTAACCGTAAAATCGCGTACATGCTATCTAAAGGGTTTCTTAGAAGAGGTATGTTGTTTAGAGTAAACCAGAAACTCAACGGTTACTCTGGGAACCAGACAACTGTACTCCTCAGTGAAACTCTGAGAGGCCTTATCCTTACCAGGGCTTTAATTGCAGAAACAGCCTGCCAAGATGAGGGATTAATGCAGGCAGATTATGAACAAATTCTTTAATTTCTCTTTATCTTGCTCAGCTCTCAGTGTCAGGTTTTATTGGCCTCTATTGGCCTCTTATTGGGATAGAAGTTATATATCATGTGGTTGTATATCATATGCCAGTGAGCTGTAAAAAAGTCTATCCAAATTTCTCAAACTAAGCAAATGCTTGGTTATTTTCTCTTCTGCATTATCTGTTTAGCAGAAGGTGTGGGAGAAGATTGTGGACTTGAAGTAAAAAAAATAAAATAAATCCAGCTTGCTTTAGAAATGCCATTCATGCTCGTTTCCAATTCTGTGCTTTGAAGCTATATGAGAATTAAACAATCAAAAATCATTCCTGTTTACTTTGTGCGCCTTATATTTCCAGTACAACAGGGAATCATGCCACCTGCAGATGTTCTCTGACGACCGAGTTGTTAGTTCCTACCATGTTATCCAATCCATTAATCCATTTGTTTCTCTGTGAAGGCATACAATGTTTTAAAGAGTTCAAGCAAACAAGTAACTTATGTTCCTATTGCTTTAAAGTTTGGAGATGACCCATGGAAAATAAGGCTTTTTCCTAATTTGTGTGAACCTGACCGTTGACCTTGAAGCATTAAATACTAAAGTTTTATATCTTTACCCTTGTCTTCTATAAGCTATGAAAGTTTGACATTTTAAGATATATTCATGCATGTGTGATTTTGCAAAACTTTATGGCGTCACTGTGATGCCTCTCCAGGCATTTTCACAGGATATATTACTTGATATTATTCCTTGAAGTGTTTTTTCCAAGGTCAACTTTGACCTTAAACAATAAGTGTCAATGTTAGATACTTAGCCAACCTAGGTACTCATGTCCCACAGGGCCTAGTATATTGCTGTGAAATCTGAAAAATTATGGGTGATATAAAGATTTTACTAACTTTCACATCTGGTATGACCTCGACTTTGACCGATTTTCTTGAAAATTAAATCACCTTGAGCTGTTATTGGTATCTATTGGTTATTGCTATCTACCATCACACAAAATTCGAAAACTCTGGTTGCCACACTGCTAACAAACAGACAAAAAAATAAATGAAAGAGATTATATCCTCCCTCCCTTCAGGAAGAGAATAGGATGAGTTTTTAAAATTTCCAGTTGGACTATGGTGATTGAAGATTCTAAGTTGAGCCTCATAAATCTGTAGAGCTACAAACTTATATGGCGCCTCCATATTTTTTTGTCCTTTCAGAACCTATAAAGAGTGTTCAGAGTCATGAAAAGTCCCAGCCTGTAAGCTTTGGACTTTCTGACATGTCGACAAACAGGCCTGTAGTCAGCAATGGGACGGGTTCACAGGCACCATCTGCAAGTTCGCCTGAGATAAAGGCACAGAAATGCTTCATCTGCGTTACGGGGATGACCTGTGCCTCCTGTGTGTCCAACATCGAGAGGAACCTGCTCAAACACAGAGGTGAGCGACTTCCAGGGATGAGGCATTTGAACTGAGATGAAGATTGTTGATAAAGTGTACTGTGTTTGTTAACCAGGAATCCTCTCAGTGTTGGTGTCGCTAATGGCCGGTAAGGCGGAGGTGAAGTATGATTCACATGTCCTGGATGCTACTGCAGTGACTGAGCTCATCAAAGACTTGGGCTTTGGTGCCAAAGTGATTGAGGATAATGCAGTAGCACATGGAAAGCTGGACCTCACTGTAAGTCTGCGGGACACCATATAATGCAGAATTTTGTGCAAATTCCACATCACATGTATTTCACATGCAGATAACAGGCATGACGTGCGCATCATGTGTCCACAACATCGAGTCCAAGCTCAACTTAACCAGAGGGATCCTCATGGCTTCGGTCGCACTGGCAACCAACAAAGCTCAGGTTGAGTTTGACCCAGAGGTGCTCGGACCTCGGGATATTATCAAGCTCATCCAGGTGTTTATCACAGGACTTTTAAAAGCTATCTTAAACCTACAATTTTTTACACATGCAATTTCACACCTTGGAGTTTCTCCTCATTTCAGGGTCTTGGATTTGAGGCCAGGCTGGAGCAGGCGGGCTTCAAAAACAACCTCGATCACAAAGAAGAAATTCGACAGCAAGTATCTGGTTTACAGTTCTTATTTTTAAATGGATGCTAACTTTTTAACAATTAACAAATTTTCTAACAATTAAACCCTGAGAGTATGCCGTTGACAGGTGGAGAGTTATAACCAGCACATGGTGGTTTTGATCCATATATTGATACCCCAGGTCATGCTTAAACCCACAATCCCTCACTACACTTTCTTTCACTACTGGAAAAGGCTTTTTAGATTTAGGTCAGAGTTTACATTTTTATTAATTAGTACTTGTACCAACTTTTACTTTTCCTTAAATGTCATACAGATGGACTGTTTTTGCTCTTAGCTATATATGAGAGGTGCAAGACCAGAGGTGATAAAACTAGATTTTCTTAGTGTACAGGCTGCGTTCAGCTGACTTGCTGCTTTTTGTGAATTTAGATCACTGAATTCAACAAGATGTCAGCAGATTTTTCACAGCTATCATGACTGATTTTCCATCCCCTACACTGTCACTATACTAGACTGTATACAGTTGTCAGGCAATTGGAAATTACCGGCCCTTCTCCGGTTGGCCACCAGGGGAACATGTGCAGCTAAAAAAGGTGTCAGATTATTAGCTTACCGCTAAATTTTTCCATAAAAATGACTAGCAGTACAAGAAATCAGTGCAAAGGATGAATGTTTTTTTCACAATAGACATGTCTGCCTGTTTTTTGCAGGTGGAAGAACACATTTCTGTTGAGCCTGGTCTTTGGCTTGCCTGTGATGGGTCTCATGATCTACATGATGGTGATGGACAACCTACACCAAGAACACGGGGGCTCCATGCCCACCGAGCAGAATGTACTTCCGGGCCTCTCCATCCTTAACCTGCTTTTCTTTGTGCTCTGCACACCTGTCCAGGTGAGGAAGCACAATCTGAGCTAAACCTTTAATCACACATGAGTGTGTTTTCTTTGCTAAGGATGGTAAAAGTGTATGACTCACGGTGGAGCATGAATCCTTCCCCTCACTAGATCTTTGTGTCTTCCTTGATGCAGATCTTTGGAGGTCGATACTTTTACATTCAGGCCTACCGCTCGCTAAAACATCGCACTGCCAACATGGATGTGCTAATTGTGTTAGCCACCTCCATTGCCTACATCTATTCCTGCGTGGTCCTCATCGTGGCCATGGCGGAGCAGGCCAGCCAGAGCCCTGTGACCTTTTTCGACACTCCACCCATGCTCTTTGTGTTCATCGCTTTGGGACGATGGCTGGAACACATCGCAAAGGTAAAATAAAAAGAAAAACAGGTTTATGAGGCCTAATTCTAGGAAACTATAAACTGTCAAATCACTGCTGATTCTTGGAATCAGCTCACTACAGTTGCTTATATATGACCTAATTCAAACTTGCACTGTTTGCATTAGGCAGCATGTTTGTTTTTTCTCCAGGCTTTTATTGCCATATTTTAATGACTCTTCAGAGGGCTGATGTTTTTATTGTGCTAGACAATGATTAACTGAACATCAGCTGATGCTACATCACAATCACAGGACTGCATTCAATTTGATGATGAAGTTGCTTGCATTTTATATCTGCAGTGCATGTTTTTATTATCTTGTGCAGTACTCAAATAATAGCTGTAACAGAGTTATTACTATTACTATTTACCATTAGTACTTCGCTGGCTTCTGATGATGGCTAGCCACCATGACCTCACCCACTGGTTACCAATCTTTTCTTTTAAGTTCGCCAGTATTTTACTTGTAAATTTTCTATTCTTTCCTGTGAATTTTTCGTTTTTTCTTCGAAATTTGCAATTTCTAGTAAATTTGCCATGTTTTTGTTATAAATCTTTTTTTCTTGCTATTTTGATGCTCTTTTCAAAAGAAGTTTTGCAATGTTAATATTTTTTTCTAGTAATTTTGACAGATTTTTGTTGCAACCATTGCATTACGTGAGTTTCAGACATCTAAAAGTCCCAGCACAGAATTGTGCCAGGATCTCCAACACTGTGTTCTCATAAAGTTTATCCAAGTTTGACAATTGTCCTTTAAATGTTAACAGTTTATTTCTTATACAATTTTGTCCTTATAAACTTGACAGTATTTTCTCACAAATTTGCTATTTTTATGGGAAATTTGCTGATTGTTAACTTTAACTTTCACTCTTGCCAGTGTTTTACTTTTAAATCTATTTATTTATTTTTGTAAAGCTTTGGCAAATTTTACAGGTGTTTTACTAATAGATTTTCTTTTTTTTCCTGAAAGTCAGCCAGTGAAAATTGACAATTGTTTCGATTGTTTTTTCCCTCAGATTTTAAAAGGTTTCCCCCTTCTATAAATTTGACATCTTTATCATAAAGTTTGATATTTATTTATATTTTGAAAAAAAAATTAGTCATTAATTTAAATTTTGTTCTTACAAATGTGACAGATCATAAATTGACAAATAAATCTTCATGTTTTTCTGCTAAATTTCCCATTTCCCCCCACATTTTTGCCAGGTTTTCTCTTGTGCTGTTTTTTCCTCATGAACTTACATCTGCATATGTGAAATTATTACTAACTGATTCATCATAAGCTTCTGTACTCTGGCTTGGACAAAAACACAAAGAAACTAACACATTGTTATATGAGCCGTCTCAGAAATGAAATGCTGTAGATTAATTTCCTGTCTTTGTAGTGGGACACTAGCAGCAGGTGTTTTAACACCAGTGAGAGAAGGCCCATTCATTATACGCATATTTACCAGCAGGAGAGCATGAACTTTCTTCTGTCACCATCTCAGCGGCACACTTGTGAAAATCTGGGAACACAGATTTTCTTGCAAAACTACTTTATGCAGATATAACCTAGATACATACAAATTCTCACATTTCCGCGCTAACTATACAACCATGTGACTGTAGCAATTCAAAACGCTCATACTTAGTAGACAGGAGAGTGTATGAGGTCATACCATTAGTGCAGTACATCTTTGTTTTAAGACTGTAACGATACATTCTCTGCTGTTTCTACTGTCTTAGAGTAAAACCTCAGAGGCTTTGGCCAAATTAATGTCACTTCAAGCCACCGATGCCACTGTGGTCACGTTGGGATCTGACAAATCCATCATCAGGTGAGACATGTAAGATAAATAAATAAAACCATCACCTCTGTGGTACATGACGTGTGTGTCTGTAAAAATATTTTTATGCCTCAGTGAGGAGCAGGTGCTGGTGGAGCTCGTTCAGAGGGGCGATATTGTGAAGGTTGTCCCTGGAGGGAAGTTCCCAGTCGATGGGAAAGTGATTGAAGGGAACTCCATGGCAGATGAGTCCTTGATTACAGGTAGGAGGGAGTGAATGATGCGAATCCTTGGCTTTGAATGTGGATTTCAGGCATCTTAAGCCAAATTTAGAATTAATTTCTGTGAGTTTTCCGTCTCTGTGTGGCAGAACAAGTGGCATGCATTGCAGATCTTTAGTCCCAGAGGTTACATTTGTGTAATTAAGTTATAAAGTCTTATAAATGTAATCAGAGATGTCTGGTTTGTGTAGGTAAAAAATTTTTTGCATGCAGGTTTGAAAAAAACATTCATTTCAATAAAAAGAATCATCTGACATTTTTTAGATTCAACCTATTGAAAATCAAAGAATCTGATTTTATACCAATTTATTAGGAACCAGAACTAGAAAAAAAAAGAACTAAGAATACTGACATAAAAAGATAAAGGGAAATGAATCAGAAATATCAAAATTTCATGAGTCTGAGGCCACAACTTTGGACTGCTGTAACAAGCAAGAGTGCTCGAGAAAGCCAGTTCTTAATTACAGCTGGTGGGTGAAGAAGAAGGGGTGAAAGCCAGTGAACCAGCAGAGAGTGGTTGAGCAGTTGAGCCTCTGAAAGGACCTCTGGAGCAGAAACAAACCACAGTTACACAAAAGGCAGAAGATGACTGTGACACCATCATTTAGTCACTTGTTGCAATTTTTTTCCCTCTCTTTCTGTCAGGTGAGCCAATGCCCGTTAGTAAGAAGGTGGGCAGTTTGGTGATTGCCGGCTCAATTAACGCTCACGGTGCCCTTCTGGTGGAGGCCACTCACGTCGGTACTGAAACAACACTGTCACAAATAGTCAAACTGGTCGAAGAGGCACAGACCTCTAAGGTAAGCTATAAAAATCACAATTTTAAACTATAAGGTTACTCACATGTGTTTAATAATAATGACAATGATAATAAACTTTATTTATAAAGCACACTTAAAACCAAGCTTATACCAAGGTGCTTAACAAGTAACATAGAGAATAAAAGGAAGATAATAGAAATAGAAATAGGACCAAAGCAAGTACTAGGTATGCAAGCAGATAACGGTCACTGATACATAGGAGAAGCAGCAGATACAGAACAAACAAGGAATTAAATGAGCATAAAAGTGCATAGTGTAAAATCACAAGTGAAATGTTAACTAGAAGGAAAGGCAAGATTGAATAAGTGGGTCTTTAGTCGTGATTTAAACAGTGCAATAGAATCAGAGGCGTGGATAGCAAGAGGGAGGTTATTCCACAGTACCGGGGCAGCCAGAGCAAACGCACGGTCACCCCGAGACTTCAGCCGAGATCTAGGTTATGTCAGAAGTAGTTGAGTAGCAGATCTGAGTGTTCTAGCAGGAATATGTGGCCTGAGAAGTTCACTAAGATAACTTGGCGCTAATTCATTAATAGTTTTGAACATAAGGAGTAATATTTTAAATTGAATATGGTACTTTATGGGCAGCCAGTGCAAGCCAGCTAGAACAGGAGTAATAGAGCAGAATTTCCTGGTACCAGTCAGGAGACGGGCCGCCGCATTTTGGACTGTTTTTATATGATCGGATGACACAAATGGAATATTTGCAGCAGTCCCTTAATAGCTTACAGACTTTCTTGAACAATAGTTCTCCAGCTTTCTGAAGCTCTTTAAACTGTTTCTTTGGACTCATTTTCAGTCCAGTCCTTGTACCTTTAATTTATTATTTTTGTTTGTTAAGCCACTTAACACTCTACTATGAATCATTCAAGCAGGCTCCCAACTCAAGAGATGAACCAAGAAACCAAGGTCACGTTTCAGTTCGTATGGTTGTCTAACAGTGATAAATTTACTGTAATACGATTGGCTGTCATGTGGACAGATGGCAAATGCATAAAGTTCCATAAAGAACCTGCTCTTGGAGGGCTGGAAGTCCTGCATGGTTGAAAAGTTCTTGTTGCTGAGTTTTTATAGTATAGTTATGATGAAGGCAGTGCTTACTGCTACCGAGGTGTGCAGACACTGTAGACCAGGGCTGCCCAATCCCAGTCCTCGAGAGCTACTATCCTGCAGCTTTTAGATGCATCCCTACTCCAACACAGCTGAATCAAATGAATGGCTTGTTATCAGGCCTTTGCCAAACACGATGGCATGCTGAAGAGGTAATCAAACCATTTGATTCAGCTGTGTTGGAGTAGGGATGCATCTAAAAGCTGCAGGACGGTAGCTCTCGAGGACCGGGATTGGGCACCCCTGCTGTAGACACTCAAAAGAGACTGTTCACAAAAAGAGACTGTTAACACTAAACTATGTTGTATTTTGCCCCTGGTTCTGCGTGAATAAGTAAGGATTAAAATTTTGGATTCCTTTGTCATTTAGACTTTTCCACATTTAGACGTTTTGCTTTGTCTTCCAGTTGCCCAGTTAGCTCAGCTGATTAGACTGTGTTGCTAATAACGTCAAGGTCATGAGTTCAACCCCCATACTGGCCACTTGTTGCATTAAAAGGACACTCACTGTTCTTAATGTACAGGACACTCCTAATTTTGCTTTCCCTTCTCCTCCTCAGGCCCCCATCCAGCAGTTTGCAGATAGACTCAGTGGCTACTTCGTGCCCTTCATTGTTATCGTGTCCCTGTTAACACTGATAGTGTGGCTGGCCATTGGCTTTGTCAACTTCGACATTGTGAAGGAGAACTTCCCGGTAAGTGTGCATGCAGACGACTTGCGTGTGAATAAAAACAGCTGTAGCCTGATCACACCACTCTCCTCCTCAAAGGGTTACAACCAGAGCATCTCCAAGGCAGAGGTCATCGTCCGCTTTGCCTTCCAGGCGTCCATCACCGTTCTCTCCATCGCCTGCCCCTGCTCTCTGGGGCTGGCAACTCCGACGGCGGTCATGGTTGGCACAGGGGTCGGCGCTCAGAACGGCATCCTCATTAAAGGAGGCGAGCCGCTGGAGATGGCACATAAGGCGAGACCCTTACGATTCATTTAATGCTTTTTTTTTTAAAAAACTGCAGAAACACTGAAGCAGGTAGAAAGAAAATATGTCTGTAATGAGCGAATAAATGAAAGAGAAAAGAGCTGGAACAACCACAGAAATGTAACATTTCACTTTAATATTTGCGTCGGCCTCTATTCTAATTAACTGGTGACACCATGTGGCATTGCTGCTTGATTACAGCCAGGGGCGATTCTAGCATCTGTTGGGGCCTGAGGCAGAAATGGGCCCCTCCAACCAGAGATCAAATATGTTATAAATAAAAAAAACAAGTAAATAAATACATTATAAAAATCGAATAAATAATAATATAAAGTAATCTTGAGAAGGAATGTTTAGAGTGCAGTGCTCAGAGTGTAATAAGGCACCTCTTAGAAACCCTTTTAAACCTGACACTGACCTCGATGTGTCTCAATCAGATCAGTGTGGTGATGTTTGATAAAACTGGCACTATTACAAACGGCGTGCCGCGGGTGACTCGAGTCCTGGTGTTGTGGGAAGTGGCCCGCATGCCCCTGAGGAAGATCCTGGCAGTGGTGGGTACCGCCGAGGCCAGCAGCGAGCACCCGCTAGGCATAGCAGTTGCCAAATACTGCAAACAGGTGAGAGGTCTATTTATGCCTGCCTTTTTGTTCAGGAGAAAACTTTACTGACTTTCTATCAACTTTCTGACAGGAGCTGGGCTCCGATGTCCTCGGGTGCTGCCAGGACTTCCAGGCCGTGCCCGGCTGTGGGATCAGCTGCCGGGTGTCCAGCGTGGAACATCTGCTGCTGCAGCCGAGCGAGGAGCGATTCCTGCTGCCGGGGGCTACTATTGAAGAAAGCAGCATACTGCCTGCAGGAGAGTCCACCTCTGCAGGTCAGAAAAAAACTGTAACTGTAAACTTTATTCAAAGCAGAGGTGGCAAAAGTACAGATTTTTTTTTAGTTAAGTAGAAGTACAGATACCTGGGTTAAAAATACTCCAGTAAAAGTTGACGTACTAAAGCAACTTTATTACTCAAGTAAAAGTATAAAAGTACAGGCTCTGAAATGTACTAAAAGTAAAAAGTAGTCTATTAACCACTTTTGTACAGAGGTAACTGAACCTTGTGCTGTGTTAATATAATAATAAAATAACATTAGTACACAAGAATTCAAAAATTATTTGAATTTAAATTTAAATTAATATACTCAGTGTGATCTGTTATGTAGGTCCCCTGCAGTGAAAGTGAATGAAAAAAACAAAACTTTTTTCTGTTGCCTACATTGTAGAGGGTGCCTTTGGCTCCACACATAAACAGGAAAATGAGAACAGTCAAGGATTGCACCGGGATTTAGCAGGTAGGGAAACCTGAAATTGGTTGTAGTGGCTCAGTGTGGGGAATAGAATCACAACTCACAATAATTTCTAATATGAGCTTCAGTAGATTTTCTTAGTGTACAGGCTGTAATCAGCTGACCTGCTGCTCTTTGCAGATGCACATAACTGAATTCAACAAGATGTCAGCAGATGTTTCACAGCTATCATGGCTAATGTCCATCCTCTACACTGACACTATACTGTTTATACTGTCTTTATCTTACACAGTGTATAGTTGTTAGGTAATTTGTAATAACCGGCCACTTAAAGAAATGTTTCACCCCCGAGTATAAATTTCATGGACCCCTTTTGAAAACGTAAGGAGTATAAAGTACAGATATATTTTTTTAAATGTAGGGAGTAAAGTTGTCAGAAAAAAACTACTCAAGTACAGATACCAGAATATTCTATTGAAGTTTATATTAGTGAATCATTTGTCTATTAATTAAAATTGTTAGACAGTGTTAAACCCCTCAGGAAACCACTGTGTAGGCCAGTTAGCTCAGATCGTCAGAGCGTGGTGCTAATAACGCCAAGGTCATGGGTTCAAGCCCCATACTGGCCACAGAATCACAACGAAGAGTTCTTTGTAGAGCCCAGACACTGGCTAGTTTTTTGTTTTGTTTTTTCAAGCTATGCATGTTCAGTTGGCAGCGATGTTAACAAGTGACCTGCTGAAGTTCAAATTGAGCATCAGAGTTTGGAAGTGATTAAGTGACTTTGAACGTGGCATGATTTTTGGTCTGAGTTTTTCAGATATTTCCCATATTTAAGGTTTACAGAGAATGGTCTGAAAAGGGGAAATTATTCACTTAGTTAGACAAAGGCAACAGTAACTCAAATAATCACTCGTTACAACCAAGGTATGCAGAAAACCATCTCAAAAGCAGCAGACGACTACAAAGAGTACCATTCAGAAACTTGTTGAATCTATGCCATGAAGAATCACGGCAGTTCTGAAGGCAAAGAGCGTCCAACCTGGTGCTAGTGAGGTGTAACTGTAAGCAGTCATTGTTTTTAATCACATTCTTCTGTTTCCAGCTGAAGGGCTGTTTTATTCTGTCCTGATTGGAAACAGAGAGTGGATGAGGAGGAATGGCCACCACATAGGAGCAGATGTGGATGCCGCGATGTCAAGCCACGAAACCAAAGGGCAGACAGCCATACTGGTGGCTATAGATGGTGAGGGGAAATCAACGTTTTCTTTGTGGCTTTGGTGCCACATTTAAACTTCATCTTATGCTGTTTGTGTGTGTGTGTGTGTGTGTGTGTGTGTGTGTGTGTGTGTTGGTGTGTATTATACTGACAGGTAACTTTGAAAT